ACTTTTAATCCAGGTTACAATAATCCACACTTTTAATCCAGGTTACACTCTTCCCTCAAGGACACATTTTACAAAGTAGCTAAATATTGTGCAGGTATAAAGATACATTTGTATATATTTTTGTGTACATTTATTTTTTTAAGCTATTTGACTAACTTTTATTTTTTATTATTCAATATTTTACTAACAGAATAGTAAAATAGCAACCTGTTTTTTGTGTGAATTGCTATGTCAGTCAAATGTTCAATTTTGGAATAAAGGGGTGGAAATTAAAACGTGTTTTTTTTTTTTCCCGATTCATCGATTAATCGGAAAAATAATCGTCCGATGAATCGATTATTGAAATAATCGTTAGTTGCAGCCCTAATTTTCATTAAACCTTTATTTAGACAGGTAATCCCATTGAGCCTCGAGGACTCATTTACAAGAGAGACCTGATTTCAACAAAGAATGATGACAACAATGGACAACAGTGACAACAATAAACAGCCACAAAAAGGCATAGGTTTTTTTAAATTATTTTGAATTTTATTTTAAATTTTTACAATGAGGTGGAAGACGAGAGTCCAGGCAGGATGGAGTGGATGGAGAAAAGATTCAGGAGTGATTTGTGACAAAAGGGTGCCAGCAAAGGTCAAAGGAATTTTTTACCAGACAGTGGTGAGAGCAGCTATATTGTTTGGTCTGGAGACAGAGACATGGACAAAAAGAAAGAACTGGAAGTGGCAGAAATGAAGATGTTGAGTTTCTCCTTGGGAGTGACAAGGATGGATAAGATTATGAATGAGATCATCAGAGGTACAGCTCAGGTTGAACAACTGGGAGATAAGTTAGGGAGGCCAGACTGAGATGGTTTGGACATGTCCAGAGGAGGGACAGTGGGTGTATTGGAAGAAGGATGTTAGAAATGCAGAGGAGACATGGAGGTAGTTGGAGTGAGGACATAGGATGCAGAGTAACATGAGGAGGATGACTCGCTGTGGTGACCCCTGAAGAAGGAAAAGCCAAAAGAATAAGAAGCCTGATTTTATCAAGAAATGTTTCAGCTTCCATCCAGAAGACTTCATCATGACGTCTTCTGGATGGAAGATGAAACGTTTCTCCCTTAAAATAAATGGTCCAGATGAAATGATTTAACCTTTTTGTTGTTATCTACCTGAATGATTGAGTTTACTACCCTTTTTTTAATCCAGTCCTGTTTAAAAACTTTACCTAATGGAAGCATAAGGTTAAAGAGTATTGGTCCAAGCACTGAACCCTGAGGAGGAACTCCATGACTAACTTTGGTGTATGATTAAGATTCATTATTTACATTTACAAATTGGAATCTATCAGATAGATATGAATTACCTTATTTTTCGGCCTATAAGTCACAGTCTTTTGCATAATTTTCATGCCCTGTGACTTATAAGTTGAAGCGACAAAATAGTGGATTTTTTCCAACATTTATAAACCTTTTTTTTGGCTGAGATATGATCGTTTCCATTCATTCTGACTGAAAAAAAAAGAAAAAGAGCAGTACCATTTTCAGCCACTTGATGGCAGCAGAGTAGTAATAGCAATTTGGCATGCTGTTGTATCATGCAATAGGAAAATGTGGCTATAATGACAAATTCAAAAAGTTCAAGACAAAAACAACTGGGCTTTATTTATTATACTTTGATTTTTTTCTTGAACTTATTTGAATTTACCATGTCCTGGATGACTGAGAATCTTCTCCAGCTATTAATGACTCAATCAGCTTGCCATATTCCCCCACCTTCATTCTGCTTGCTGCTTGGAGCAAGTCAATCCAGCTGCACCGCCCCGGCGAAATGCAGCTAGTTTGACCATTAAAATACATTTATTAAGCAAATGTTAGACTGAGACACACCTTTGCTACAATTTCAAGCAAACAACTAATTCTTTTAGGTGGTTATCTTGTTAAATTTTAAAGAAATGCTGCAGCTGGTCAAGCTGTGCGTGCCCGCTTTGCATCACCTCATCAGCGAAACTTATTTTTGAAATTCAGCTGATTTGACCATTAAAGTGCATTTATTAAGCATACTTTAGATTGATACACACTTTCAATATAATTTCGAGCAAACGAATAATTGTTTTTAAGTGTTAATCTTGTTAAATTCTTGTTAAAGTCCTCCCGTGCACGCTCCCACAGCCGCCATTTGGCAGCCAATCGGTTTTTGGCACAACACCGGCCCACATTTCCGGGTTGTCAGCGGTGACGCGTAACAAACACGACTTATCGGCGGTGACGCATAATAGATGTGACGCATACGGCAAAACGACGTATTTATGGATTTTTCCACTTTATTAGACAAATATGGACTGATGCGACTTATAGGGCAGAGCTACGCGTACGGCGGAAAATACGGTAAACCAATTTAGAGAAGTTCCTGTAATTTCAATATCATATTCAAGTTTCTGTAGTAGAATATTGTGATCACCTGTATCAGATGCAGCACTGAGGTCTAACAGGACCAGTATAGACACCTGTCAGTTGTCAGAGGCCATGTGGTCAGGCCGGGCAGACACAGTACAAAAACATTTAACTGGAAAGTATTACTAAAATAAACTGAAGGATTGTTGACATTGCTGTGAAACCCAAAGAACAAAGCAGAGTTGATGTCTTGTCTTCATGTCTCCACAGATGGACGTGTCTCGAGCTGATGTGATCAGTGAGGTCAGGAGGAGAACCTCTGAAGCCTAACCAGGGTCTTATTTCTAGAACTTCTGAACCAGTCCTTAGTAAAGCATGATGGACCTGAAAACAGGGACCTGGTTCTGCCAGCAGCCTCGTGGACTGGCGGGGCTCAGGGAGGAGCTCATGCTGCTCCTCTGAAGGCTGCTTGTGTTCCATCAAACTGCCTCTTTAAAACGTTCAACTGTCCTGTGTTTTGGATTTCACCTGAAAGGCGTCACTTTCAGTGTTCACACGTAGTATGCTCTGGGGAGTAGATATTCTTCATTAAAGGCATCTTGTCCTGCAAGTCTCTGTAGTCTGGAAGTTTCATCTGTCCAGGACCAAGTTCCACTTCATTTACTTTTATGTGTAAACGGGTGGTTTATTAGTTTCACATGGAAGTGGCTGTAAATTCCCACCCGTGTTGGACCCATGAACATGAAGCCCATATTGTCCAAATAGAATCTTGAGACAGTGATCCATGCATTCATAACATCCAGGCTCGATTACTGCAATGCACTTCTGTTTGGAATCAATCAATCCTCCATTGCACGTCTACAATTGGTCCAAAATGCTGCAGCCTGATTTTTAACTGGTACAGGCCATAGAGAGCACATTACTCCAGTTTTGGCCTCCCTGCACTGGCTACCCATTCAACTTCGGATCCAGTTCAATATACTCATGTATGTTTTTAAATCACTGAACAGTTCTGCCCCATACTATCTCACTGATCTCCTGCAGCCATATGCCCCACCGTACTCTCTGAGGTCAGCAGACCAGATGCTTCTTTCAGTTCCAGAAACCCGTTGCAAGCTCAGAGGTGACAGGGCTTTCACTGTTGCAGGTCCAAGACTGTGGAATGAGTTGCCACTGCATGTCAGGCAGGCTCTCGCACTCAGTCTTTAAGTCTCGCCTGAAAACCCACTTTTATTCCCTTGCCTTTGACACGGTGTGATTTGATTTGATCCTGCATGTAGTCTACAGTGTTGGCCATTTAGTTATTATCCACTGCTATTTGTATCTATATTTTTATTTTATGTTTTCCTGTCTGCTGTGCTTGTTTGTCTCTATTGTACAACACTTTGGTTGGCCTTGTTGCTGTTTTAAATGCTCTATAAATACATTGGTATGATATGGTATAAAGCAGATAAGATAGTGTGTATATATATATCTTTTTCCCCCCCTTTTATCAGTAGTGTTGGTTATTGGTGGTGTCTTAAAGAGAGCATTTAGAGGTTGGGAGCATAATAGGGCAACAGTAGGCACATCGTGGGTCCTGGCTGGATACCTCCGGCAGTGAAGTACCCACCTTACCAGTGCTATGGCAGAGGGTCCCAGGTGTCTGCGGCAGAGGGCCCCAAGAGTCTGCGGCGGAGGGCCCCAAGAGTCTGCGGCGGAGGGCCCCAGGTGTCTGCGGCGGAGGGCCCCAGGTGTCTGCGGCGGAGGGCTCCATGTGTCTACGGCGGAGGGCCTCAGGAGTCTGCGGCGGAGGGCCCCAGGTGTCTGCGGCGGAGGGCTCCATGTGTCTACAGCGGAGGGCCTCAGGAGTCTGCGGCGGAGGGCCCCAGGTGTCTGCGGCGGAGGGCCCCAGGTGTCTGCGGCGGAGGGCCCCAGGTGTCTGCGGCAGAGGGCCCCAAGAGTCTGCGACAGAGGGCCCCAAGAGTCTGCGGCGGAGGGCCCCAGGTGTCTGCGGCGGAGGGCTCCATGTGTCTACAGCGGTGGGCCCCAGGTGTCTGCGGCGGAGGGCCCCAGGTGTCTGCGGCGGAGGGCTCCATGTGTCTACAGCGGTGGGCCCCAGGTGTCTGCGGCAGAGGGCCCCGGGACTGGCCAGGAGTGAAGACAGTAGGGCTGCTGTTTCTCTGGTCCCAGGTGCCAGCAGCCTGGCTACAGCCTTTTTTTTTTTTTTGGCCTTGGTTGCAGTTTTGATTTATCGGTGAGCCACTTATCCATAGAGTGGGGGGATGGGGATGTATATCGAATCTAGGTTCTTTTATGGTACCGACCGAACTGCAATAGTCGGTGTATGGATTGAAACATGACTCTTCTTTTGGTGTCAAGTTTCAGCGATTGGCTGTAACGTGACACGTACTTTCAGCACACAGGCAGGTAAAACACAGACGTACTTGATTACGCCTACAGACGGGGTTCACGTGTCTGTCCCACTAAACATTAGACGTCGAATGGATGTGCAGATCACGTTTATATTGAGTCCGTCGGTCTAAACCAATTCTGGACGTCTCCACGACGTGCAAACAAGGTCCACTCTGGACGTCTTACCATGACCTCACTTGTATGTCGATATAAAGTCGAATGTTTGAACGTCAGACGACCTCCAAGACAGGTGCAGGTGTGTCTTAGTGAATCATAATTTTTATAACCATAAAATTTACAATCATAATCACTGCACAGTTACTCTTTTATGATTATAAATTTGCACGGCTTCATTCATAAACCAACTGTTGCTATTATCTCTCTAAGCTATTTCTGTTAATCCAGTAAAGAGGATAAAGGAAACAAATTAAGGAGTGATTTATTTGTAAAACTTAGTCCATCTGTTTCTAGTGACATTTAAGGAGTGATGATTTAATTGTAAACCTAGAATCTATAGTGTGTGGTTTCCTGTTGCACAATAGATGGTCAAATATACTGTTTCTTTAGCTTCGTTTGCTGCACAGAGATGCTGCAGCGGCAGAGCAGCCGACCTTAACCTGAAGGTCCTGGCTCGAACCCCAGTCATTCCCACATCCATCTGAGGGTGAATGTGTTAAACACTGCATGGGAACTTACAATGAAGACAACTCGAAGCACTTACTAATTATATTATTATCTGAAGTGAATAAAATAAGTTAAATTTTGATGTAGAAAATACGCCTATATTGACCGTCCAGTGGACGTCGGAAAAAGACGTAGTCTGTCGTAACAGTCTGCACCTGGGAGAGACCCAAATTAGACGTCATTTAGACGTCTCCTTGCTCAGTGGGGTGTTGTGTGAACTAGTGCAGCGTGTGTCGTCGGTTAAGCCACTTAAAAAATGCCGCTATGGTCAAAAGTGTGTCTCCATTTTAGAAAGATTGATGCCAGTAGTGCACGTTGCAATATATGCAAAAAAAGACATTGTTGCTAAGGCTGGCAACACGACTAATTTGATGAAGCATCTTATCGTGCACGGCATCCATTTACGAGTGGAAAGTTGCTCGGTGTTTGACTGCAAGAAGACTGGACTGCACCATCCTCCTCAAGTCAGCCTGTGAGTGTTGGAGAGCCTGAACGACTTGGTTTAACATGCCCACGACCGGACTCGTCTTCATCCGAGGACTCCGAGGACAACTCTGTTTCTGGGATTTCAGCTCGTAAGTTTACGTTTGTTAATGTTACTGCAGATTTGTGACTGCTTAATACATGCATCATGTGGTGAATTAACCATCAATGTAACGACGCTAACTTTAAGATATTGGTGTCGCTTTATTTTTTTAATAAAAGCGTATGCAGTAGAGAAGGAAATGTCAAGAGAAAATTGGAAGACGTCAAAAGATGTGGACCACAGGACCAGCGTGGCACGAAGACTATTAACAAAAATAAACTAAAGCTACACACTAGCTTTAGTTTATTGCTTTAGTTTATTTTAAGAAAATAAAGCTACACTAGTGTGTACCTTTAGTTTATTTTAATACCTTTTGTAGAAGCTGCCTGCTACTTCCTTCACCACAAATGACAGCAGGTGCGGAGGTGCGCGTGTGATCAGCTGACCCATCCATTATATTTACCCGCTTATTCCTTTTCAGGTAGCGGGGGTCGCTGGTGCCCATGTCCAACCATCACTGTGAGAGAGGCAGGGGACACCCTGGACAGGTCGCAAGTCCATTTCAACCAGTGGATCAGCGGACACGCGCAGCCGGTGACAGGTTGTCCATCTGAGCTTAACTTTTTTTTTTTTTTAACATCTTAAACATTGTGTTAATCTACTTGTTGAGGAGGCAGGTCCGACCAGAAGGTTTAAGATGTAAAAAAAAAAAAACACGTTTAGCTCAGATGGACAACCTGTCACCGGCTGCGTGTGTCCGCTGATCCACTGGTTGAAATGGACTTGCGACCTGTCCAGGGTGTCCCCTGCCTCTCTCACAGCAATAGCTGGACCCAGTACTACCTACCAGTTATCGCTCCATCTCTCTTATTAATGTGGATGTTAAAATAATTAGTAAAGTCCTCTCTAAAAGATTAGAGAAAATAATTCCTCTCATTATTCATCCTGACCAAACTGGATTCATAAAAGGAAGACACTCGACCACAAACACACGCAGATTATATAATTTAATAGAGTATTCATATAGTAAAAATATTGAAACAGCTATTTGGTCTTTGGACACAGAAAAAGCATTTGATAGGGTAAACTGGAAATTTTTATTTGCTACATTGGGTAAATTTGGTTTTGGGGAACATTTCATTAAATGGTTAAAAATATTGGGGCAGCACGGTGGCGCAACTGGTAGAGCTGCTGCCTCTCAGCGAGCAGGTCCCTGGTTCAAACCCCGGTCCAGGGGCCTTTCTGGGTGGAGTTTGCATGTTCTCTCCGTGCATGCGTGGGTTTTCTCCGGGTACTCTGGTTTCCTCCCACAGTCCAAAAACATGCATGTTAGGCTGATTGGTAACTCTAAATTGTCCCTAGGTGTGAGTGAGAGAGGGAATGTTTGTTTGTCTCGTTTGTCTCTATGTGGCCCTGTGATGGACTTGCGACCCATCCAGGGTGTACCCCGCCCCTCGCACAGTGATTGCTGGACATGGGCACCAGCGACCCCCGTGACCCAAAATGGAATAAGCGGGTAAAGAAAATGGATGGATGGATGGATGGTTAAAAATATTATATAACTCACCAAGAGCATGTGTCAGGACAAATAATCAAATATCTTCAAGCTTCTGTTTACAGAGGGGGACCAGGCAGGGATGTCCACTTTCACCTGCACTATTTGCTATTTTTATTGAACCTTTAGCAGCAGCAATAAGACAAACTGCTGATATTAAAGGTATACTGTGTAGAAATATAGAACATAAAATTAGTCTTTATGCTGACGATGTTTTACTTTTTCTTCAGAACACAGAAAACTCAATATCTAATGTTATCGAATTAATAAACTCGTTCTCAAAAGTTTCTGATTATTCTATAAATTGGTCAAAATCCACAGCTCTTCCAATAAACTGCGTGTTTAATACTTCTCTCAATGAACGACTACAATCAGGTAACATTACATACTTGGGCATTAATATTTCTCCTAGATTGGAAGACTTAATAAAATTGAATCATATC